TGTTTTTTTTTCTACGTTGTTATCACCGCCATGCGCGTTTGACTAGGTTTGATTATGCTGTGTTTGGAGGTCGCGGGGCCACTAAGCACTGCAGATCCGTCTGATTTCTCTTTTTTTCTCCAACATCAACAAAGATCTCTGCCTTTCCCTACTCTCTTGTGTACAGGCCACTCTCAGCTTGTATACGCTGCGGCCACTTGTGTAAATAAACATATCTGTGACGGGGTTAGACTTTCACGTTGGCGGAATGTAGCTACCAACGCCTCTAATTTTCATTTATTTTTGAACTTCAACGAAGATGCAGGTATTCTTGCCCATACTGTCTGTACTAAGGCGTTGCTCATCTAGAATTAGTCACCGAGACTAGTTGTAGGTTGTCAAGGCAGTCGGTTTTTGTCTTTGTTATTTCTAGGAGCTTTAGTTTTGGAGCGGTTACTATTTGCTTCGTGCAAACATTCTTATTTAACTTTTGGCAGCAAAACACGGCGTGTGGTTCTAGTCGGCTGCCAAATTTGAGATTCGGGCAACTTAAGCTGTTGCCTTTTCCTTGGGGCTGTTCCGTCCATCCTTGGCTGACCCCGTTGGGAGTTGCTAACATGTTTTATTCAAGGACGAGTCCTTTCCGCGTAAGAATACTAGTTGAGGTTTTATTTATTAGATCCGGAATAAATGCGATGGAATCAGGGGCTTTGAGTTCCGTTCTCGGCTAGACTGGAGCAGATTCTCTGTGTTTCTTCGTTAGAGTACTGAATGTATCTGCGAGGTCTTTTCCTGGGGCTTTCCCTTTGGATCTGAAACCGTTTCTGGCCCCTCCAACGTCTTCTCCACAATCATGGCTTTTCCCTTTACGCGTAGCATGTATCAGGACCCGCTCTCTTGCTTGATATAAAACAGTGGTTTTGACTTTAGTATTATTAGGAGCTATCACTGATGTGACTTGAGCAGATGCTAGCCCCTGTGTTTTTGTTACTTCGGTGTTCTAAAGGGCAACACTCGGTTTTTGGACAGTATTCTATAGAGGTCGCCCTGTCATGGGAGGGGAACGATGTTCTCCTTGGTGGCTTTCGGAGTGATCAGCAGTTGCATCGTCAGATACTGTTCTACGATGGTTTTCCCACTGCTGTGGGTAGGCGTGTATCAAATTGAAGAGGTAAGTCGGGCACTTCGCTACAACAAGTTGACATTAGCCGGATAGCTTAAAAAGGACTTTAAAAGTTCGCTAGGCGCTACGATCAGCTAGTAAAGTAGTAACAACAACTTTGAAGCCTACAGGGCGCGTGCTCCACACTGTCACGTTCCAACCATTTCCCGTATACCTCTGCCAACGTGCATTCAGTGCTCGTAATAGGTCTTTCGTA